ACCCGGTGTGCCAGTAAGGGTGGGTGCTTCATTCAACAGACAGGAGAGGGGCCAGCAGTGTAGCAGGCCAGTGCCAGCCATTAGTCATTTACATGTCTAAAGAACACAAGCTGTCTCCCACCCACTGACTCATGTACATCTCAACCCACATCAAGAACACACAATGGTGCATACAATGATGATGATGCAGTCACCATGTGCATTGGGTCCTAACTGTACACACTGGTAGCCTGGCAGGTAAAAGCAGAGAAAGAGGTGGGCCTCACCGACATGCTTCTTGCTTGTCGACTCGTAGAGGGCATAGAAGAGGTCCGGATAGCACTTCCGAACATACAGCTGGTAGTTTGGGTTGTGAAGTAGGAAAGACACGTCGCCACTGCCCACAGTGAGCAGATTGCCAGCATCCGGCACTGCCACAGTACGCAGTGCAGCAAAGAAGCGTGTGGCACCCTGGTCCAAAGACACTGTGGAAGGAGCTGTGGACACGGGCATTCAATATGCTCAAGAGTCAGAAGGGCATCCAGCCACCAAAGGCAGCAGACAGCTTAGACTAAAAAAAACAAGGATGCAATGCACAGGTCACTAGTACTAGTGACTCAACAGTGGGGTTGTGTTCTTTTGTGCCCAGTAAAGTAACAAACAGTGAGGGGCCGTTCTGATGACCACTACTGCTAAAGCCCCCCACACTTGTACATAACTTGTAACATGTCGTTGTACATAACACGGTGGGAGATGTGCTTTGTTGCAGCGGTGCTGATGGTGTGGGAGCTAAGCTTGCACTGGCGGAATTGTCAGCACCGCCTGCAGGCTCCATGCTGCATGGACAGTGCTGCAGACCGCAAGTCAGAATGCCCATGCGGGCAAATGGTAACGAAAGCTGGGTGAATTTCGGTGCTGTCTATGATGTTTATCCCCGAAGCGCCAGCAGCCTCAGCAATCCGCCCCACAGCCGCCAGCTTCATGGGGGCACACCGCAAGTCTCCAGAGGCCCCGAGCATTGGCTAAAGTAAATGTACAAATGAGCAGCTTGCATATATCATAGAGAATTGTAAGCAAATTTGTCAGCCTGCTGGTGGCAAGTCAGAATGCCCATGCGGGCAAATGGTAACACAAGCTGGGTGTTCAAGTTATCATATGCTGTCATCTCAGAATTCAATTATGTAATACACAGTACCTTTTGAAATGAAACTTAGCCTGACAGGCGTTGATGTGACTTTGAGCTCGGTCAATTGAGGCAGTCAAAGTTGTCTCTGCTCATCGATAGGAGAAGCCCAAAATCATATTCTCGGCTGTACAAATCCTGGAAGCCCTAAGGCACTGATTGGTTCAGTAACCCATGGGTTACCAATGGGTTACCCACCTTCAACCCCCGGTAGACCTTTGGTAACCCCCTTGTAAGTTCTTATCCAGCAGGAGGGGTAACACGGCCCCAGGGTAAACCCCTCTGTTGCCCAGGACTATGGACATATGTATGGGCCTATAGGCGACTCGCCTTACATGCTTCCCACATCGTAAATTCCGCTTAAGGATACTAGTAAAAATGTAAACATTAGCAACCTACAGTATCTTGGTATCTCGGAAAGCATCGTTTGCCATTTCAACCTTAAGGTCTCTAATGCTGGCATCACACACGCAAGGAATAAGCAATAAGTACCTATCTCTTGGCCTGTTACGAGAGCTTGTAGATGAGTACAGGAGAAGGCGTGAATGCTGGCAGCACAGGTCTTCACTAAATGGGTGCCTTTGGTTGTCATCCATTGTTATATAATAGTTCTCATTGTGAAAACATCAGGCAATCAGTCCTGAGGTCGGCCGACATATTACCGGCCAGGGGTGGTCATACACATATGTGCATGCTGCTTTGCCTCCATTGATACTCCTGACAAGTACATTCAAGCTTAATCACAGCTAATTAGCTTGTAAGCTCATATAATGCACACTCTTGGCTGGTCTTATAATTAGATAGACATGCTAAAATAAGCGATGACCACTATCAACAATTCAGTCAATCATATTCCAATTGAACATACATACAATGGACACATACAATCCACTTTGCAATACTAGTGCGTATGGCGGCAAAAATGGTGGCGTCCTAGCGTTTGTGTGCGTGGACCACCACAACATGACTGTTGACTGTCTTTCTGCAGCACAGGCCCACACTTATGGTGGACCTCATTTAGCAAGATATCCAGTGACATCCGAGGATTTTTACCGCCTTACACTTTGCCGGGTGTGACCATGTCCAGGGTCAAACATCCGGATTTCCCACCCAAGACCCTCAACACTCTTAGGAGAGGCTCCCCTAAGTGCCTGCTCCGAAAACGAGCAGACTCTGGATGTTGCATAGGTCATGCATAGAGCTGGAATTAGCAGGTCGGGACGGGGGACTTAACCTACTGGCCGACCTTACATTGCTGCCCGTTGGCTGACCAGTGAGTCTTAGGTCATGAGCTGGTCCATGAGTCTTAGGTAGGTGCATGGATCTTTTGATAGGAT